GTGCATTTTCTATGTTCGTTAAAAATGCTATAGTGAATATACTCCATATGTTTGAGGAAGAAGAGAAAAGTACGATCACAATGGAAGGAGACACGGCAGATATTTTTAAAAGAATTGAAATTCTAGAGATGAAAACTACATTATCTGAAACGAAAAATACAGAATATGGTGGATGGGATTAACATCAGATTAGATGTTGCATAAGAAAAGGTTAGTGAACTTAAGGACACAGCAACAGAAATTATTCTAAATTAAATACTGAAAAGAAAAAAAAAGACTGGAAAAAATAAAGTAAGTAAGCTGTGAGACCATATTTAACTGCCTAACATGAAGGTAATTGGAGTCCTGGAATTGTGGTGGGCTGAGTGGATGGTTTTTGAGTGTGAGGGTGGGGGAGGGATAAAATAAAAAAATATGTATCTTTGTAGAAATAATGGCTGAAAAATTTCCCAGTTTGGTGTACTCTATAAACCGTACAGTTTAGTGAAGCTTAACACACCTCAAGGAGAAATTCCTATGTCTTTCAATAAAGAAAGTTATTGTGGAATGTTAAAACATCAGTATCTCATGACTGAGACCTGAGACATGTTTGAACATCTCTGCTCACCTTCTTAAACACAGTTCTGCTAGGCCTGTGAGGTCCAAACGGCATCCCTGAGCACCTGAAATGTGGACAGTGCAGTTGAGGGACTGAATTTTTTATTTCATTTAGTTTTAATTAGCTTCTAAACTAATTCTCAATTCAGTTATTAAAAAAACTTGAAGCATGCTTGGAAAAACTTGAGTACATACTTCTTTCTCTTTTTTTGAACACTTTTTTATTGGGTTATAGTTATTTTTAAATGTTGTATCAAATACCAGTGTAGAGCACAATTTTTCAGTTATACATGAAGATACATGTATTCACTGTCACATTTTTTTTTCTCTGTGAGCTACCACAGGATCTTGTATACATTTCCCTGTGCTATACAGTATAATCCTGGTTATCTATTCTACATTTTGAAATCCCAGTCTGTCCCTTCTCACTCCCCGCCCCCTTGACAACCACAAGTTTGTATTCTATGTCTATGAGTCTGTTTCTGTTTTGTATTTAAGTTTTGTTTACATTCCACTTATGAATGATCTCATAGGGTATTTTTCTTTCTCTTTCTGAGTACATAGTTTTTTCAACTGTAAAATTTATAAAATCTATACACAGAAAAAGTATTGCTGATTGAAATTTGCATCTGAATTCAGGTGTGCTTCAAGTGTAAAATATATGTTGGATTTCAAAGACTTAGTATAAAAAGAATGTAGAATATCTCCTTAATACTTTTATATTGATTTCATATTGACATATTATTTTGGATATATTGGGTTAAGTAAAATTTATTATTAAAAATTATTTCCCCTGTTTCTTTTTACCTTTTTTGAATGTGGCTTCTTGGAAACTGAAAAGTTATATATGTGGCTCAATGATATTTCTGTTGGTTAGCCTTGGACAAGGTCAACTCCTCTTTAGCAGTGAGGGCACCAGTAATATATAATTTGAAGTACTAAAATGCAAAGGGTTAAAAACAAAAGAAATTTAGCAAAAGGTGACATCTTACTCTGAAAATAAAATACTCTGAAATAAAATCATGTTGTACCTCTGTTCACAGTAGAGAAGGAGTGAAAGACAGACATAGAAAACAAACTTATGGTGACCAGGGGGTAAGGTGGGAGAGAGGGATACATTGGGAGTTTGGGATTAGCAGATGAAAACTACTGTGTACAGAAGAGATAAACAACAAAGTCCTAGGGAACTATATTCAATGGCGTGTCATAACCTGTAATGAAAAAGAATATGAAAAAGATTATATATACATATATACTGAATCACTATGCTATATACCCGAAACTAATACAACATTGTAAATCAACTATACTTCCATTTTTAAAAATGGGGGGAAAAGGAGTGAAAGTAAATCATCCTTATGTTGAAAAGGTATTAAAAAGAATAAAGGTATTAATCAGACATCTAAAGCTGTTTCCAGCAAGCCGTCCTTAGAATGGAAGAACCTTTGTTTGGAAGTTATAAATTATGGGATGTTTGTTAAAAATTGGTCTCACTACATTACAGGGGTACCCGAGGGGTGGCTCTCCATTTGGGTCAGGGTTGGAGAGCTAGTATTTTGCGTTTTGTATTTTTAAATAAAATGTCTTCTAATATATCCTTTG